CAAACCTTCAAAAGCTTTCAACAGTAGAAATAAAGCTTCAAATTATATTTAGCATTTTATTCATCATCATCATTCTTATTATTACATTTCTATACTGTGCATAGCTGAACCTCTCTGAGTAGTTCACATTTTAAGTCACCCATCCAGATTTCAACCAGGCTCAACCCTGCTTCGCTTCCAATATTAGACAGGATCAGACACTTCAGGCTGTTATGGGAGCTTCTTGTTTATCCTTCTCTTCAGCAGATAGGGCTCCCTGAGTGGCCTGTACAAGGTCAATAAGAACAATATGTCATGAAAACATATTTGGAGTATTTGTTTTCCTTCTTTATACTGTATTTGGAGAGGCAGCAACTGTGGCAAAGATAGTACCTCTTTTACAAGACAGTTGGTTTCTACTGGCCTCCATGAGGAGGGACACAGGCCTAGCTTAGTGAGCAGCAGCAGGTAGAGAAAATAGTGAAGGCTCTTCTCATTAGCTATTTCTTATTTCTTGTTTATTTATTTATTTAGCAGACTTATATGCCGCCCCCTTCGCCTAAGCCTCAGGGTGGCTTACAAATAAATAAATATCACTAGTACAATAAAATACAGTTGGAGACATCCTGGCCAAAGTTGTTAAAATCAATAAATAAAATCAACAATTAAAATGACGTTTAAATAAAAAGGTCTTGGCCTGGCACCAAAAAGCAAATAACAACGGTGCCAGGTGGACCTCTCTGGGGAGCGCATTCCATAGGTTGGGCACCACCGCAGAGAAAGCCCTCCTCCGGGTGCTCACCCTCCTAATGTCCTTCACGGAGGGCTCCTGGAGAAGGGCCTCTGCCGCCGATCTCAAGGGGCGGGAGGGCACATATGGATGTAAGCACTCCTTTAGGTAACCAGGACCCAAACCGTTAAGGGCTTTATAGGTCATAACCAACACCTTGAATTGGGCCTGGACTTCAGTGGGGAGCCAGTGAAGCTGACGGAGGACCGGAGTTATGTGAGTACAACGCCCAGTCCCCGTCAGCAACCTGGCAGCTCTGTTTTGCAGCAATTGAAGTATCCAGACCCTCTTCAAGGGCAGCCCCACGTAGAGCGCATTACAGAAGTCTAATCAGGAGCTTACCAATGCATGTGTCACAGTCACCAGGGAGTCGTTCTTCAGGTAGGGACGCAGCTGATGAATCAGTCGAAGCTGAAAGAAAGCTTTCTTTCTTCTTCTTTTCTTCTACTACTACTACTACTACTTTCTTCTTCTACTATTTTCTTCTTCTACTGCTCCCCTCTGTTATTGCCTATTCCATGCCAAGCACTCTTTTCCCATGTGCCTCTCTAGCGGTTTTATGTTACTACTTGATAACATATTTTCCCCTTTGCAATACATAAAGACATCTAAAATACCCTTCTATTGTGGCATTACTTTGATTTTCTCTACCTAGAGATTTAAATCACAAACCTTTGTGTTACTGGAACAAGTAAATGAATGTGCACAGTATGGATAATTGTGCATATTATGCCATGAACTTTTCTTCACTGGCAATTAGGTTTCGCATAATTAACAGTTTTTGCCCATTCACAGATACATTTGAATGTTTTACCCCCAAAATATGTGACAAATTGCTGCATAAATAGCACCAGCATGACTTTGTTACTTCATTAGTGCCTGGAACAGTCCATAAACCTTCATTTCTATATGATTTAAAGATCTATCTGCAGTCTATAAAAATTACATTTTGACTAGTGAGTGAAGCTATTGAAGTTTGTAATGACCTGGTTCAGTTGCAGGTTGGTCCAGTGCATTGTGCTCAGCTGTAACTTCTTTGGCTTGGAATACTAATCATTTTCCATCAGCATTCACAAGATCATGTGTTGTTTTGATACATGCTCAGAACACCTCTTACTCCTGATGAAACCCTCATAAATTGCTAGGAAACAGCATGTACTTTAAAAGCTGGTTTTTTCTAAGTTGCACGCATTGAATTCTTCAATGTGAACCTTTTGCTTGTAAACTCTTGCTTGTTACCGTGAACTGTATGACCCCTTTGAATAAGAACCCCTCTGATGAGTATCTTGATTATTTCATTCAAGTGTTTACCTCTCATCTGAAGTCTAAACCCAGTTCTTGGTCATGGGGTTTTTCTGCTGTGTGTGTAATGATTTTCCAAGTGGTTCTCTGCTGTGACTGGTGGTATATGGTAGATACAGGATAGGTGAAATCAAGCTACAATTCTCAGAAGGTAAATAGAACAGTGTGCATATTTATGGTGACACGAGCACACTTGTGCAAACATTATGAGTAATTGCAGAGTTTTCAGAAAGCAACATGCCTTTTCTACTTTGCTTTCCAACCAAGAAGGCTTATAAATACTGAACTAGAAAATACCTGATCTAGATCTGAAGCATGCCCAGATATATTCATCATCGACTAATTTCATTCATTTGTTTCAAGTATATTTATCCTACTTCTCAGGCAGAAAAGGCAAACAATCAGCAAAATGGACAATCCCTGCCCCAGGCTTACAATCTTAAAATACAAGACACACAAGGAAACAAAGAATGGAAAGAAAAGAAAAAACAATTAATGGATTGCCGGGATTGGTAGAATGACACTGCTCCCCTTCTTTTTTCCTTGGTGGGGGGGGAGGGTCCTAAATTTACTCTGCCTGTTTTTGTCTCTGTTGCACCTTGTTTCCTGCAGAACAATTATTCATTTGGAATAATTATTCAAATATTTTAAATAAATATGTTTATGTTAAGTAAATTATTTAATATACATTATACATTATGTAATTATATATATGTGTGTGTGTGTTTCCACTCATTACCAAACCTTGGGGAAATGTACAAAATTCATTACAATTAAAATAAAATGCATGGATAAAAATCAGTTGTTATAGATAAGGTTTGAGCCCCATCAGGATGCCCATACACTCCCAAACCCAGAGCCCATGGACACCCAGCACCTCTCCACTCCTTTTCCTCTGCATTTCCACTTTTTCACCTGTTGAGCAGGAGCATTTCAAAGGCAGAAAGAAATGGGAAGTGATTCAGGATATCTCATATCTAGTCTCCTTCCCTCCACCTCCCAACATACCTCCTTTAACTCTTCTCCAAGTTTGGCTGCAAGGTGGTGGAGGGAGGGGTTGAAGCTCCAGTTTCCCTCTCTGAATGCTGTCTCTGATCATGGAGATAGAATCCAACTGATCTTGCTGCTGAGACAATGTCTAGGATCCATAGGATCATTTCTTCTGATGGGGAGAAATTAGTTAGATACTTATTGAAATTTGCATTCAAGGAAGCTTCCAGATGGAAGAGTGTTAGTGCTAGTAGAAGGGGGTGTGTGAACAGATTTTCATTGTAAGAAGGCAGGTGTGGTGGGAAAATGCAGAAGAATTACAAGTGGAAGAATTTGTTGTTTGGATTCCTGATTGTTTGGATTTCTGAGAATAAGGAGAGTTGACAGTGTGATGAAAGTCTTGCTTGAAAGCACCCCAAATATTTATTCTGTGCAGAAGACTTCGAATTAAACAAAAATTACTATAACTGATTTGTCTTGCTATTTTTGTTCATTATGAACTTGTTAACTGTTACCATAGGTTTATTATCTTGTGTCCTCACCCTAGGTGCTTGCTTGCTTGCTTTTTTTAAATAAATGAATTCTCTCATTGCTCCTAAGTGCATGTGAAGTTCAGAGTACTGTGTTAATGCACAAATAATGAACTCCTGGGAAGGAGCAAATTAAAACTATTTTTCAAAGACTGTATTTATCTCACTAAGGAAAAACTGCAGTAGTTATAAAAGATGATACTACCTAAAGGAGGCAGCTGGTAATAGGCAAGGAAGAGTTAAGACTTTTAAATGTCCGTTGCAGTGTTTCACTCCTTACACATTTATCTTTAAAACGTATTAAGGCTCAGTATTTATACTCTGTATATGTCTGCTTAATGTTTCTTAGTAAGAATGACATCGTTAATGGATTGTTAATTTTCACATATCTCTTTCTTGATTCCATTGTTACAATTCCAAACAGGGTTGACATCTAGGTAACAATTTTCTTCCCCACGCCTGTGGGCTTACTGCCAGTAGCAGTGGGTAGTTGTAAGGCTCACCATTTAAATTTTCTCCAATTGCGTCAGAGCATTGTGAGAAATGTAAAATAGTGGGTGGCAGCAGCTAGATAAAAGAGTATGGGTAGACATTTGGGCCCAGTCCAGAGTGGGCATCAGCACATGGGTGCCCTCACCAGTTGCCTGAATGCTGTGTGCTGATGCCAGACATGATTCCCAAGTTGCATCTTCCATTCTAAGAAAATGCCACCGTATCACCTTGTTTGCACTGAACTGGGATGTTTGCTGTGATCTTGGTACCTGGGACTGATCACTCAAGCTGAGTAGCTGCCATGCTACACTCTGATTGACTTGTGTGTGTCAAGTCTTGAAGTCAGAAATATACCAAGTGAAGTCACTGGATTGCCAGCAGAACAGGGCACACCGACTTGTGAAGCATTTCCTCACAAGCAAATCTTTGAGGATTGTTATATGGCAGTCTCATGAAGCTTGCATCTTCAGGACTGTGGTCTTATTTATGTCATAAAAGATGTATAACCTTAAGCTTACAGATTCTTTCTGCAATACTTTACATTCTGCATTTCTCCATGGTGGCTTGAACACTTCGATTATTTAAAAAGTTGATGGGCTCTTGGGGCTATATCTAACGGTAGCATTTCTTTCACAGAAAGTGCTTCTAGTCATACAAGCTTGCACACCTAATTTTTGTTGTTTCTCTCTACTTACATCAGCCCTGGACTCCATCTTCCATTATGTCTTGGAGAGTACCCCAGTCAGGAACAGCTTTTCTTTTTTTTGGGAGGGGGGGAATAGGACAAAGTGGGCACCCTGACTTGCATGAACAGAAGCTCCTTCAACTAAGGCAAAGCCATCATTATATTCCTTAGTACAGATCTATTGAACACTATTGAACTATCAATTTAATTGATTCTTCCTGTTTTGATGCAGAAATCCCTGAAGATCCACGTCTCGCAGAAGAGTATTACAATGATGTGTTTGATTCATGCTCAGAAACAAGTGAGGAGGAGGAGGAGGAAGAGGAGGAGGAGGCGGCGGCGGCAGTGGCGGCGGCTGAACTGGAAGAAATGAAGACATCACAAACTGTGTGTAAAACAAATCAGCAGGTATACATTCACTCTTTGAAGAAATGCTGAGCATCGAGGCAGGTTTTATAGTTAAATTATATAAAGTGCATAACTTTCAAAAAATCTCACTGAGGATATGTTACCACTTCAGCAAAAAGATTAAGTGTTAAGTAGGCACCATTTTGTCATACTTCTATTGTATCAATGGTTTGATGATAATGCTCCAGTGCAAAAAGCCTTGTGCAAACATGCCCTGTATTTCTGCATAGCAAACTATTCCTTTTAGCCTGTCAGATGCATGTAATCTGATGATTCTAGGTTGTTTGCTTCAATGCATAATATCTTCTTATGGACATTATACAATATCTTCCTTATTATGTACTTATGCCAAAAAAGCTTGTGTGAGTAGGGGGTAGGAGAACAGCATTTTTTGTTTTGAATTGTTTTTACCACAAATTGGTGGAGAAAACATACACTATCCATAGCATACTAATATATCTGAAAAAGGTAAGCGACCATGATGTTACTTGAGAATGACTCTTCATAAGTAGCTGATATTATCTCCTTCTGTTTTTTAAGGTCATTACATTTGGTTAAACTGAAATCTGAACTTAGATATGTGTGCAATTTGTTATCCTTGCTTCTCAAACCCAGTCAAACAAAGGTGATATTGCATTAGGTTTAGTATGCTAGGACTGCACAGACTAAATGATATCTTGAAAAACTGATGTATGTTGAAAACTACTTGAATGCTCACTTTCATAAGTAGTGTGTTTTTTCAGCCTGGATAATCCAAAGTTTTCCTGCTATGAAATATATGAAGGAAATCTGTTATTAAGTGTAGCAGTCACATTTTATTCCGTAGTTTAGAAGGTTTATGATATAAGCAGAATGTTTAACAAAGCAGAGTAAACGCAGGAGTAACAATCAGGATTGGACAGTGTGACATTTTGTCAGGACTTCACGGTTTGCATTTCCATGACAAGGAAACAATTGAGCTGGAGGAAATTAAGGCTGTTTTATTGACATTTCTGCCTGAATTTGATTCTATTCTTTGTGCATTTTGTTTTCCACCCAGTGCACATACATAAATTTCATTGTCATTAATGAATGAAGCAGCTATGCAACCTGATGAAAGCATATTTAGCACCATATCAATAAAACAGTTTTCCTTAAATTGGCTTCTTTGTTTCTGGGTTTTTTAGAGTACCATCCTATGCACTTTAGACAGAAAAAGCCCATCAACTCCCACCCTCCCCAAGCCAGCAGGCTGACTGGAGTATTTCTTGGAGTTGTAGGCCCCTTTTCTGTCTAAACATGCATGAGATTGTGACCTGAATCTCTACACCTTAGTATTAAATCGGCTACTCTTTTCAGTTTTTTAAATTGAAAATACTGTTGTATGCTCTCAAAATTGCTATCACTGATAAGAGAGTCCAAATGCTTTTAATATTTTTGATAATCTGGTTGTCACAGAGTCACAATTAAAAAATGGCTGTTTTAGAAGTACTCAAAATTGGGTGAAGGTGTGGTAAATCAAGAGCTCCTGGTCTTTTGTGGTATAAATCCAGGTAGGGCTTTGTTCATGCAACTGCCCTGCCTTAAACTTGGTTTGTTTGTTTGTTTGTTTGTTTGTTTGGGATATTTCTAGGCCAACCATCACTTTAATCTCTGGACGGCTTACAATTTCTCCGGACGGCTTACAATATGGATTCTGCAGACCATCCAGATACTTTTGCCTCCCATCTGGAATCCTCCCATCTTTTCCCACCATTTCTTTCTTTTTTTCTTTTAACAAAAAACATATTAGAGAGGAAAATATGCAATAGCTGCTGCTACACTATGTTTTTTGATTGGTAGCACGAGGAGCACTTAGACTTGAAGCACCCAAGTAATTGATTATTGTTCTTACATTCACTTTAGCTTCTGTTTCATCCCTTAAACATGTAAACAAATTAGAGATTGAAATTAATTCATGCTTGTTTCCACAACATTGTGAACATGACTTTAATTCACATCAGGCGTTGATTGCTTCTTGAACTGAATTGGCAGTAAAGCCCATTTTAATGTGAGATGACCAGAGTAAGGTTTTGGGGTAAATGGTAGAAATAAGACTAGAAAGATCATTTTAACTACCTGTGGGAACCAATCAGTGCTGACGTATCTATTGGACTAAATGAGCATCTGCTGACTATGTGTAGGATGCACAGTGTAGTCATCCATTGTCTCTCTACCAATGAACAAAGGCACAAGTTTGCCATCAGCATATATTATATTCTCCTCCTTTCCTCTCCCACTGTAGTGACAAACAACTGGACCTAAAGCTTGGTAAAAGCAAGAAAAATATGTTCTGGGGAACAACAAGGCCTAGTAAATGACCTGCTCATTCTATATTCCAAGGGTGAATTCACTCAGAACATTTGTACAAGCCCAGTTAAAATCAATAGGCATTGTGCAAGAGTTAGATTTCTACATATTTTTTCAGACTTTCATTCACTATATATATAACATGTAATATATACATGTATTATATATTACATGCATGTAATATTACATGTATAACATGTTATATTTAATGTGTTACATTTAATGTATAATGCTGGTTTATCCAAGCCTTTTTTCAACTGTAAATTTTCTTTAACTAAAATAGATGCTGAGTTGATGAAAGCAAATCCAAGTTGTCATTTTCTTTACTTATTTATATCCTGCTTTTCTTTTCAGTGAACTCAAAGCTTATGGGGTGTGTGTGTGTGTGTTTGGATAAATTCTTAGTTCTAAATGGCAGGTGACATGTCTGGATATGCTTTGGCTTCATTATAACTGTTCTCGTTTCTTGTCAGCTCAGAATGATTTTAAGTGTTTTGGATTGGTTAAAGAAACATGCTGAACATGATTTCTGTGCTTCAGCGAAAGTAAAGTTATGAGAGCCAGTGTGGTGTACTGGTTAAAAATGCGGGGCTGGGACTCAGACAATCTGCATTCTAATCTCCACTCAAGCATGAAGTTCACTAGGTGATTTTTGGCCAGTCACAGATTCTCAGCCTAACCTATTTCACAGGGTTTCCATTGTTGTGAGGATAAGATTGAAAGAATTATGTGAGCTGCCTTCATATAAATAAATCAACTCTAAGAGCTCTTCCACGGAAAACGGTAGGATTTAAAGTGTTTTTCACATCTATTTACTTGCTTGCTTACCCTTTTTCTATTGGCAGGATAGTGATGTTGAAGCAATGGTCAAGTTTATGGAGAACATCCTAAATACCAGTTCTTTAGGTAAGATTTTCCAGAATTAGCAATATAGTTTAGGGACAGTATTCATAATTGGTTTCTAATTTTGTCCTCAATCTTGGTGTATGTAGTTATTTTAAGTCTTACTTTGCAACCAAGAAATAAAGTAGTCTGGTTATTTGCGATGACAATGAGGATCTGGATTTCTCAAACTATTTCCTCCTCAGAAATAACTCCTCTGAAAGTCTTGCACATATTGAAACATCTTTGACTCATTTATACTGATAGGAGAGCAAGTTCAAAGGTCCACAAGAGTGGAAAACTGATTAATTTATACTGGGTTAAATTTCCCTTCTTGCTTTAATTTTTCTTGAATTGAGGAAAAGAAAATGGTGGGTTTTGAAGCTGTTGTGTAAAAGAAAGCAAGGTGGCAGCAGCCATTAGCTTTGTGATGGTTGCAACCTTAGCACCCCATCAGAAAAATAATTGCAGTCATTTGTAGGAAAACGTGATTAAATAAAATTTGGCTATAGTTTTCATTACATTTTCATAATTGACTTGACATGGAGATAAATCTTGCAAATCACAATGCAACCAGCAGAGCAATCCCATACCAGAACTCACCACTTCTAAAGCCTGACTAGTACATGGTTGGCAACAGCAGGAGGTGCAAGGTGGCTGGAATTTGCAACCTGGCACATAGCCATTTCTGGAATTCTCCCCTCCAATATGCCAGGTGAGGTAAAATTAGCTGTCCCATCTCCAGTAGCAGAAGGGTCCAATCCAGAGGCCTATCTAGAGAACAGACTGCCTTTCTATGCACTGCACCTAGTGCCTCCCTGCCCCCAAAAGACACCCATTTGGGGGCTCCCCACTAGCAGGAATATTATCTGTGATGGACCTATGCCTGCTTGGACTGTCATGTATTTTAAAATGGCATTAAGAATGATCACTTAATTTGTTTTAATGTACTGTTTCAAATATATTTACATCATCTTTCAGTAAGATGTCCAGGTTATACACAATAGATTTCAAAACATAGCAGTAACATGTAACAAACACAAACTAAAAACATTGACTGTTAAGACTCATTGACTGTTAATTGAGTGTGGCATTGTTGAACTGGGGACATGGGAGATCTGGGTCCCAGACCCCACTCAGCCATGGATCTGGGTGGGTAACTTTGGGCCAGTCACAGACTCTTAGCCTAACTACCTTACAGGGTTGTAAAGGGGGCTGTGTAAGCTGCCTTGGATTCCTTGCAGAGCAAAAAAGGCAGGATATAAATACAATGTAATAATAGTAAATAAGATGTGTGACTAAGGCTCCAATCCTATTCACAGCTACTTGGGAGTGAGACCTATTGGACTCAATGGGACTTACTTCTGAGTAAACATTGATAGGATTGCACTGTAAAATGCATTCTAATAGCACAATCCTATGCTGGTTCATTGAGAAGTAGTTCCCAATGCATTTAGTAAGGCTTCCTCCCTAGGAAATGTGTTTAGGATTATAGCCTAAGTATCCTTTAAAGTATCTGTAATGATCTTTTAAGAAATAAAGAAAAATTATTGCAGTCACATGTAGGAAAAACTTGATTAAAATAAAATTGGGCTATAGTTTTTCCATCACATTTTCATCAAACTTAATTGATTTCTATGGGTGTTGGCACATCCTGCAGGGAAAGAAAGAGCATTAAAGTTAATTCAGTTTGAATTTATCTGGATTGTATATAATACATCATTCTAATATAGCATTCTAATATATCTTCTAATATTTAGGTCTAGACAAATTTGTAATAAATATAGATTTAAATGTGCAAGACTTCTTATTTCTGCCTATATTTAGCTGTGTGTATGTTCAGTTATTTCAGTTATTTATCTAGATACACTGGCGATTACATTTTAATACTCCAGACACAAAAATGTCTACTCAGAAGTAAGATCCATTAAGTTCAAATGGTCTTACTCCCACATACAGAATTGCAGTCCAAATACAAGATTATTCAACTATTATCATGTTGATGGTCTTATTAGCACAAAGCTAATTTTATCTTCCTTTCATTACAGAACATGCTTACATAGTATGAGCCAAGGGAAATAAAAGTAAGGCTAGCTAAGGGTTCCCTTTGTAGTGAGTGGCGAATGCTTCTAGATTTAACACAGAATGATGAAATGAAGCTACAGGAAACCTATGGCATTAGAAGATTAGCAGTATGTGGCTCAGAGGGCTGTGAACAAGCAGCCAGTTTAACATCTTCAGCGTTAGAACTCCTGATATGAAAGACATTTTCAGTCAGAACAAAGATTGATCAGAAAAAAAAGATAAGTTTTGTTATGCTTGCAGCAGAACTAGAAGGATTTGACATCTGCATGTTTAGTTACTATGTAAAATATACAGCCATTGACTCATTGATCCCTTCAAATCAGAACAATCCAGTGAGATGCTTCACTGCAAGGTACCAAGGGCAAGATGTGGGCAAGGAGTAGAAATGATGCCTGCTGGTCCTGTTCCAGCCTCCACTTGTAAAACATCAGCTTTGTTCAGGGTGTTGGATTAAATGTACAGAGGCATCATCCCACTCCCCAGCTGCTCATATGTTCATATTGCCGCCCCGAGGCTTTTTGCGAATGGGGAGGCATAAAAATGGTTTAAATAAATAAATATTGCCAAAAAATAGGTTTTAGACTTCACTTTCCATCAGTCCCAGCCACCATGATTAATGATCAGGAATGCTGGAAGTGGTAGTCCAACATCTGGATAGCACTGGCTTAGAGAAGGCTGAGCTAGATATAGAAGCTGTAGTGACTTGCTAAAGATCACATCCTGAGTCCATAACTTAGCAAAGTATGGGCTATGGAAATATTTCTTGAGCTTCAGTATGATGTCTATCTGGTACCACTGCTCCTTCTGACTGTAAGAGTAAATACCAGGGCTCAGCTCAGTCTCTGTTCAAGCTTAAAAATGGAGTCAAGTTAAGCATGACCTTTTTGTAGACATTTCTAATTCATATTCAGAGTGAGCTTGTTTGCTACACATGAAACAGGAATCCTAAACTCTAGTCAGTTGCTAAACAACTCATCTAAAGAAACCAGGGCTTAAAGTTGGCTTGTTTAGCACTGACTGGAGTTTATTTTAAACCACAATTCCTAGCTTACATGTAACAAATGATTGATTGTAAGCTGTTCTGAGCCGTAAAAACACTACAAATAAATACATGAATAAAATAAGATGGTCCTGGGCAGGGAGAAACTAGTTGGAATAAGACCAGCTGCTTGGCATTACCCTAATCTGCCTTTCTCTTGGGGAAGGCACTACCAGGACACAGACTATTTATTTATTTATTTATTTATTTATTTATTTTTCAATTTATATCCTGCCTTTTTTCTACAAAGGGCTCAAGGCAGCTTACATCATTCTCCTCCTCCATCTTATCCCCACAACAACAACCCTGTGAGGTAGGTTGGGCTGAGCGTCTGTGACTGGCCCAAAGTCACCCAGTTGGCTCCATGGCTGAGCGGGGACTAGAACCCAGATCGTCTGAGTCCCAGTCCCATGCTCTTAACCCCTACACCACACTAAGGTGTCTGCATCAGGCAGCAGAATGGAAGGGGTAATTCCTTGTACCGTTTCCATACCACCACCATGAGGGTTGCTAGACACACCAGGTGTTCTGAAGAGCCCCTCAAGCAGCTCCCATTGTGAGAGTTTCCAAACAGCCATTTGTCTTCTTAGTCTCTCATGGGAGGCTCACACAAAATCCAGCAAGCCAAGATCTCATAAGAACTCCGCCGCTGGGAAGAGGGCAAGTTGTGTTCTCACCTCAGGCAGTGAAGAGCCTTGTGCTGAGGCTACTCCTTCTCTCTCCTGAGATTTTTCCTATAGGGCTCTGTTTTGGGGGGTGGGGAGAGTCCAGCTGTTGCATGCCCTTTTGTCTGCCTCCCTCCCTCTCTGTCCAATAATTCAGTAATTGAACTTTCACCGTCATCCTAATTATATTCTGTGGAACTGTCTTCAAGCAAGTGTTCTTATGATTGTAGGATTAATTTGTTCAGGGATTTTATAGAATTTTTCTGGAAGTCTATCTCTAATTCTGTTTATTTTCAAATAGCTTTTTTAAAGTGATAATGAAAAAAGAAATGTGTTAGTTTCTTATTTATCACTTAACAATCCTGTGAAAGTTGAAGCATTCTAATACAAGGTTTAAAAGCTCCCAGAGATATTTAAATTTAAATATTTAAAGTTGCCAGAGACATTTATATTCATGTAACATAAACTGAATATATATCCTATTTCTTGAATACGTTATTTTAGGGTTATAACTTTTTAGGCCTGGAAAATGTACATGGATCATCATTAGGAGCTAAGCAAAGTTTTATGCACACACAGGAACTTTTATTGCAGGTGCCTCTTAAATATTAGTGCCAGTGTGGATGCCTGAGTTAGACTAAGATTGGGAGACCCAGGTTTATATCTGTGCTCAGCTCTGAAGCTCACTCAGTGAATATGCCCCAGTTGCTATTTTTCAGCCCAGTTCACAGAGTTTTTGTGAAGATCAAATCAGGGTAAGGGAAAAACCATACCTTTTGAAGAGCCTCAAGTTACATAACAATTAGATCTCTTGCATTACAAGGAAGCTTCTCTTTTCCCTATTAATTATATTGTAGAAATATTTTAAAAAGTGATTTTGCAAGCAGAGCATGCACACAATGCACAGTGAAGGGTATCCATTTTATTGTCACATAATTGCTTGGAGATAGTATAAATTTGCATGCATTGGAGTTGGTTTCACTGTGTTAGCAGTTACTCTTTTTGGTGTTCATTTTGCTGATAAAACATCTAGGACTGGACAGGGATATTGTGCTGTTCTTTGCAACTTTTGAGGACAAATTTGTGCTATTTAGACAAGATAAACTTGTACCTCATCCCATAAGTCAGTGAATAAACATTGCTGTTGCCTTACAGATTGCAAGCGCTGTGCATGGATTTTTCTCAGAGGGGAAAAGCTTAGAGTTCTCGCTGATAGTAGGTTCTATAAAGGCAACAAAAAGACACCAGTAATGCAACAGCATGATGTCGCTAGAATGTTTTCTTGTAGAAGTAGGTTTCCACTCGGAGGAGTAGAAAGGTTAGGGCAAAGATTAAAAACTCTAACCATTTTATGATGTGCTACACAGTTTTTTTAAAAAATTAAGGAATTGCTGTTTGGAAGCCACTTTGTATGGCCAGAGTGTGATCCAGCTTCCATGGTGCTACCACTGATTTCACTGATGAAAGCCAGCACCTGATCCTAATGCAAACTGTTTAATATATTTTGATGCTAAGGGGTGTGTTTAAAATGCATGTCTTGTTTCAACACCTAAGTATATAAATGAACAGATGTTTGAAATGCATCCATCCATCAGGGAGGCAAATGGATCCAGGACTGACAATGGAACCTTGCTTTGTATATAGCACATAGTGAAAATAGGTCAGCTGTGACAAGAATTCTGTCTTGTGGTATTAGCAGCTATGTGATTCCTTTGCTGTGTAGGTTTCCTACTTACTGTTCTTTTTCTATTGCTTTTCCTTTGCATTTCTAGACACACAGGTGTTAGTGAAGTGGGTTTTTGTGACAACTACCATGGGATAGCCAAAAAATGTCTCTAGTATGATCCATCTGAGCTATATATAGAATTTCCCCCATCCTGTTGTGGCAGTACCCATGCTGGAAGAAGGGGCCTATCTGGTTGGGGAACTCTGTTCCGCCACAATAATAGATCAGTGGGCCTAGGTGATTAGATTGGTGTGTGTTCTTCACCCAATAAATATTGTCATCTAATGCTCTAATTGCAGAATGTGCACATTTCAAGGTGTTATTTCCTATACCTTTTCTATAGTAAAGTTGTGACTGTATCTGAAGAACCCATTCATCACTCACCAGCCAATAGCTTCTTAAATCAAATAAACTGACTCTTCATTTAACTTCATAAAGTGCACGTAATAATCCAAAGTCTTTCCCTCAGCAAAATGGTTTGTGCAAGGTCGTACTTTAAACTGGAGGGAGATAACATTGCATTTGAGGACAAGATTTGTTTGGCCAACAGCCAACATGAAGGCAAAACAATATAAAAATTAAGTTACTTAGCCAGAGGTCCCAGAAAAGCTGAGAAAGATGTCTTTAATAACAAATCTCAGATTAAAGGAAGCTGAAGTATTACAACAATAAAAAACTTAGGATATTGCTGGAATAAAAGCATGCAAAGTACTCATGCAACCATCACACATCTTACACAGCTGGATAGCAATTTAGTGGTCATAATCCTACTTTTACTTTGTGGGAATAAAACTAGCATTAAGTCATTTGTAGATCATGTTTTGGCTTTAAAGACCCTCTCTGTCTTTAAAGGCATTTAGACCTATTGGCTTTAACAATCAAAAGGTACTTGCTTACTTTTACCTATTACTTCTCACATGTTCAGGGAACTATGTAGACTTTGCAAAGAGTTCAAAGGGCCACTGTCCCTTTCCTCCAATAACCAATTTTTTTGGTAGTTTCCTCACTTTTAAGTACCCCCTTCCATCCTAATGGGCTGAAATTACTTTTGTAAGCAAAACCTTTCATGATAAAATAGTATATTTAGTCCTGTCTTCTGCCTTTGGCTACACTCAATTTGCCTGCAGTCCCACCTACCACTGGAATGTGGCCCCTGAAAGCTTCTCTGAAAAGAAATTCAACCCGTAGGATGAAAGGGGCCCTGCATCCCTGACCTGGTGCATATCATTGGATAGTGGAAATAAAAGCTTAGGTGGAGTGCTGCAACCAAACTCAGACAGGCAGTTCGTCACTATTCCAGTTTCTGTCATAGGAAAGTTTCCATTTTCTTTCAGCTTATTGTTGAAGAATATCAGCAATACAAAGCAAATATAATATGGTTCAGACCCAGCTTGGAGCTACCTGCATTGTACACAGGAAGGGGTTATCATACCATATTTTTTGTTCCCCCATGTGCAACTGAGCTCTAGGCTTTGTCAGTTATAGACCCAGAAGAGGAACTTCTGTAAGTTCATATTTGGCCCATCTAATGTGATTGCAGTTCAACAACCCAAACAATTGTGCATAAAAGCAGACTTACATGGCATGGAAGATTTTCTTTGGAAAAAAATAGCACTGCAGAAAATGTTCCACCCTGGCTATGGGATCTGCTTCACAATGTCAACAAGCATGTGCCACAACTCACCGTACTTCATTTAAGCATATATGGCTAGTAACTACACCTGTGTGTTTGTATTCCCGAAATGTAAAATAAGGAGAGCCGTTTCCTTTGGGATTGCATTACATGAGGAAGCAGAATCCCTATGAAAATAGCCTCTGATTCCTGCTGTCCCACTAATTTCTGGTTGAAGAGGGCATTTTACATTGGGATTGTGGCTGGGGAGAGAAGCACTAAACCTTCCAGGTAGATTGCAGTCTTGATGAATGTTGGGAAGGTGAGGATGGCCAACCTGGTGTTACTTTTTTTAAAGTATGGCATGGTTTCTAACCATGCAATAAAAGTATCTTCTAGTTGGCCCTGAATATCTTCATATTGGGAAATAGAAGGATAATTCCTGTGAAACACAAAAAACTTGTATGTTTAAGTGAAGGATGAAATCAACTCAGGGCATTTATGGTTGGATTTGGTAATGCTTTCGTAGTTCCACCGAGTTTTCACTCTCTGTAAAACTTGTACTGTCTTTCTTCTGTTATTGACCCATATAAACTGTGGAATATGTTTTATATGTCACTATACTTTAAAAGAAAAAAGCTTAAATCATCTTCCTAAGAAGGCATAACTGAAGGTATCTCACCTTGAATTTTTTCTTGGAAAGGTCCATTGCACATGTCAGCCAGTATAATTTCACAGACAATATTCTGAGATAGCTGTGGTGATTGTATACCCTCTGCATCCAAAGTTCCACAACAGATCCCTTTACAGTAGCTTCAATATGCACTTGCATCAAAACTGAAAATGAGACAATGGGAAGAAATAGCTTGTTCATATAAATATCTGAACATGTGCACAGAGAGAGAGCTGAAGTCTTATCCAAACTTATTTTTCATGCATTTTCCCCCAGATGGAGAATTTACCCACCTGAAAGTTCTTTCACAGACCATTGTCTTGCTTCAATATGGTCAAATTGAAAATTGTTGTTGTGCTTCCTGTATCCTCTGAAACGAATTGTCCTAATGTGTATTTAATAAGATAATTCTTCTTTAGTTAATGCAGCATTTCCCTGTGACAGAGGTGAATTACCACCCCTTTCTTGATTGCCCTTGAATAATACTTTGGATCTGTAGGGATGCTGAAGAAAGAAAGGTGAATGAGGTTGTGCATCTCTGCATTGATTTGTAGGTACTGGAACTGTCACCAGTGTGACTCTGCTGGGACGTGAGAGATCGAGAGCTTTCAACAGCACCATGGCGACAACCAAACTGAGACGAATGAGGGAGTAAGTCTCCTGTTTAAATGTTAGCAGTCAACAACAATGCTGGCTTTTGCATGACAGTAAAATAAAAATAACTTTGATCCAAGAATATTCATTTACATCCAAATGCCTTTATGTATCAGCAGGGAGTAAGCAGTTGCCTTTTGCATCAGAATCTTTTCCCTAACTTTGTTTAGTATAAATAATTTCTTTTGAAGTGGGGCACCTTGTCAGTCTCTGCAGAAGTAGTTACTCTTTGTTTTCATATTATAAAGTAAGTGCAGATTTTATCAATCAGCCATAAATATTCATATTCGAAACACTTGCTTTTTTGCCTGCTTTCCTTGGCCCTTATTTTTCACTTCCTTCCAAAGGATTCTTTATTATGCATCAACTCAAATAAGAATTTCCTTAAGGTATACTCAGCTTTTCAAAACTGCCTAAAATAATCTACCACTTTACTTCAACTTAGTTTCAGCTCCAAACTCTCATAGGTCTTGTACACAAAATAGTGATGGAGGGTTCTTCATTATACATGAACAAATCAGGTCCATGTGTAGAACGATGCACATAAGAACCAGGCAATGTATATATTTTAATTGTTATTGTTTTAATTTATTGTGTATTTTATTTTATGCTGTGAGCCGCCCTGAGGCTTTGGCAAGGGGCGGCATAGAAATGTTTTAATAAATAAATAAATAAATAAAATAAACTGATGAACAGATTGTCTGCATATAAGAAAATGGCAAATTTCATCATGTTCTGTGCCAAAAGGATTTTTTAACATTTCTTATGGGTTTTAAACACCACCCAATAAAATTCCTTCTAGAGTCCTGTTTTGTATTTTAGTTATTTCAAACAAGCTCTTGGTGAAAATAAGCAATAGAAATTCTGTGAAATGATACATCAACTTCATGTCACTTTGTTCATAGCACTCTTTGAGTGAGCTACCCATAGATTCCCATGGTTCCTATGATGACCCTCTTGTGAGTTCTAAATGAACCATTGGAATTACTGATGTGGTAGATACATTTATGATAGACTGAGTAAGTAATTGTAACAATATTTAAAACAATTAATTTATTTTACATAATGAGTGATAAATCTGTAATATTTTGTGTGACTTTGATTCAAATTTGTTTTTAGTCAGTATGGGTTGTCCCTTAGCATACAGATTTTCTTTTCTTTACCTCTGTTTGTGTTACAGCCAGGTAAATGAATGAACACAGGTTTTTGCCATTTTTCAATAAGTTTAACACAATAGGGAAACTTCTGTGTACTCTTTCTTTTACGGGGAAAAGTGCAAGTGTGCAAAAGGGGGAGGAATTAAGGATATAAATGGCTCTAATCAGAAGGTGTAGTTGCAAAATCAAATGTGTGAAATAGCAAGCCAAATACATGATATTAAGACATAGCAATATAAAACAATTCACACTATTACAAGTGGCAGTTTTCTGTATTGTTATACTGTGGACTGTGATTTTTTAAATCGGATTTTACAGCTTTAGGTTGTATATATCGTTGGTAGCCTGCTTAGAGAGTCTTTGGACTATTATAGCAGAATATAAGTTGAATAATATTAATAATAATATAACCAGTGCAAGAAACACCTAACTCAAAGAGTTGCAATGAATTCTGGAATATGTTGGGAAACGGTTTGTGAAATGGCTTTCAGAAGTTATAAAAGTTTTGCACAAGTAATGTGATTCATTAGATAAAATCTCATACATTTTGCTGCTATTACAGTAGAACTCTTTAACTATGAGTTAAAATCCTATCAACAGAATTGGAGAAGCCCATTTGTTATTCATTCACCAAATCCTGTTGTACTAGCTGTTAATGAATATCTGGAAATCATGGGAAAAGATGCAAAATATAAGAGACAAATAAGCACAATTGAAAGGATATTCTTCAGTGTATTTCATCCTGGATATTGTTTTATCCCAATGTTATAGTGTAAACAAGGAAAGGAATATTCTCCCCTTGCTTCAGGGTGGACAGCTGTTGGTCCTCCAGTTGTTGTTGGACAGCAACTTCGTAAGCCCTAGCCAGGAATGCTGGGATGTATAAGACTTTATGGCTGTCTGAACCTACGTAGGATTGCACCCTAAATCTCTTATATTTTGCCAAATACAAGAGTACTATGCTTAAATCTTCCCAAAGCCATCAGTATAACTATTACTGGGCGGGAATATACATCTTATCCTATTAGTTGTTATTAGCAATCTTATGATTGAAAAATAGGGATTTTGTACTGTTTAAGATCCCATCATTTTTTTTGTCTGCCTTTATTCTTGAGACTCATTCATAGCTTCATGATTTGGGTTTAGTGTACACTTGACTAAAGAATAATGGGAGTTATACAGAATAGGCATTTATAATGTTTGCTTTCAGTGATGAAAACAAAAGAAATAAAAGCAGTAAAAGGAAGAAAGTGACTCTAAATACTTAGTGCTTCATGTTCTTGTACAAAGAAACCTAAGAATATATACAGGAAGTCATAGTTTAATAGCAATGAACTTTACATTGTGATTTAAAAATTAAAATAAAATAGATAGGTAAAATAGAAACACTTTCATGGGCCAACATTTAAGTAAATTAAAATCTTGCAGCACAGCAGTGAATGCCTCTCATGCAGCCTCCAGTGTCTTCCACTCAGCAGCATGCCTGGATCAGGCAGAAGGCTTCATCATTACCTGCTGAGTGTAAGTAAAAATTGTCTTTCAGAAATGACAAAAAAAAAAGACATTTGGTGATATTTTTGTTCTGCCATCATGAATGGCCATGTCATTATTGCTTAAGATTCATGAGGGTTATGTATATAAAACTCCTGTGCATGTGATGTTGGCATCAAATGCATGATTTCTTTTAAAAATTCAAAAAGAAAGGTCATATTGAAGTAATTGATTGAGCACTGCATGGTCTTTAAGACTGACAGCCAAGCAAAGAAAAACTCTGCATTTCTCTCATGAATTGGCATAGAGTCCCTGCGAAAGTTGAAGGCTTCAATCTCATATATACTTACTAGGAAGTCAAGCCCCACTGAATGAAACCATACTTTCTCCTGAGGAGACAAAGCATGTGTGCTGTAAACTAATCTCATGACTTTCTAAATGGCTCAGATGTGGCCATTTCCCCCTCACCATTATTTTCAAAGGAAATTTTGCCACTGATTTCAGTGGAACTATTTATTTTCTATATTGCCCAACAGCTGGAGCTCTCTGGACAGCTGTTTAGCCACTTATACATTCTCTTTACCAGTCAGAGAAGAGAAAAGGTTAAATACAAATGCTCTTTTTCTATTAGCAGATTTTGTATCATAATCTAAAGAGCCCCTAAATTGGAACCCATCAGACAGATCACATGTCTTTATAGATTTTTCACATTATTTAACTGAATAAATTTCATAGTGCACAAGATCTTCAGTAGTATTTCTAATGTGAGCTGGCAGAACTTTGGAAACAGCAAATGATCCCACAGAGCTGCCACCCTACTTAGGAATGTCCTGCTAATCAAGGTGAAGGCTGACATCAGCTCAGTTTATTTCACTCAATAATGGTGAATTGGCCCACGTCTACCCATATATGACCACAGAAAGGGCCAGAAGACAGGCACTGGCCATTTTTTCCCCTCCCTTTGGGGAGGTGAAGGTGAGGGATGAAGGTGAGGGACCCAATTCTGAGAGATTCGAAGGAGTGTCCTTGGATCCAGCCTGTATTGTTTAATGTAATTTTATTAATGTATTTTGTGATTATGTATAAAGTACCTTGGACAATTTTGTTTCCTAAAAGGTGGGATATAAATAACTGCATTAACACTTACTGACAAACAGATAGGAGCTTTTACCATGAGCTGTCAGTTTTGGCAGTTGGAGTGTTACCAGCTGATACTTACAGTAAACTACAGTCTGCAATGCAGACCAAGTGTTTACACAGAGTCAAACATTATTTGAAGGGGGAGGTTGATATATAGCATACATTTCTTGTATTCAGCTTCACTGAATTGTATCTGCTGCTTTATTGCCTAACTATTTAATTTGGTCTCCTTCATGGATCACTGCCTTGTCGTAGGGGCTTGCGTAGCTCAATGACGCTATGAGCTATGCCATGCAGGGCCACCCAAGATGGACAGGTCATAGCAGAGAGCTCTGACAAAACGTGATCCACTGGAGAAGGAAATAGCAACCCATTCCAGTATCTTTGCCATGAAAACCCCATGGACAGCACCAAAAGGCAAAAAGATATGACACTGGAAGATGAGCCCCTCAGGTCGGAAGGTGTCCAATATGCTACTGGGGAGGAGCGGAGGACTAGTACTAGTAGCACCAGAAAGAATGAAGCGACTGGGTCAAAGCCAAAAGGACACTCAGTTGCAGATGTATCTGGTGGTGAAAGGAGAGTCCGATGCTGTAAAGATCTATACTCCATAGGAACCTGGAATGTAAGATCCATGAATCAGGGCAAGCTAGATGTGGTCAAACAAGAGATGACAAGACTGAACATCAACATCTTAGGAATCAGTGAACTAAAATGGACAGGAATGGATTTAATTCAGATGACCATCAGGTATACTACTGTGGGCAAGGATCCCTCAGAAGAAATGGAGTAGCCTTCATAGTCAATAAAAGAGTAGGAAAAGCAGTACTGGGATACAAGCTCTAAAATGACAGAATGATCTCAGTTCGAATCCAAGGAAAACCATTCAGCATCACAATAGTCCAAGTCTGTGCCCCAGCCACTGGTGCTGAAGAGGCTGAAGTTGACCAGTTCTATGAAGGCCTACAACACCTTCTAGAATTAACACAAAAAAATGATGTCCTTATCATCATGGGGGATTTGGCTAAAGTAGGAAGCCAAAAGATAACTGGAATAACAGGCAAGTTTGGCCTTGGAGTCCAAAATGAAACAGGGCACAGGCTGGTAGAATTTTGTCAAGAAAATACGATGTCATAGCAAACACTCTTTTCCAACAACCCAAGAGACAACTCTACACATGGACATCACCAGACGGTCAACACAGAAATC